GAGAGAGAGAGAGAGAGAAAAAGATAGAAAAAAGGGGAAAACGGCGGGACCCTTTTCTTCCCTTTTCTTTTGCTTTTCGAATCGGAAGGACCAAAAGTTGCCGTTTCTGTTTGGCTGTGTTCGAGATTTCTTGGCCGAGTTCGCCAGGAATATCGAGGTCGCGGCGTATCGCGACACCGCGGAGAGAATCGATTTGCGGCGTTCGTTCCCGTCGCTCTTTATATGGGGTTTTTTTTTCTTTTTTCTTGTTGGCCGGAAGAGGAAGGTCTCCCTTTCTCTCTCTTGTCAAGCTCTCGTCCCTGCTTCGGATGGCCGAAGATATATGTCGCGTCGTATACCGGGATAACGGATCTCAGGTATACAGACGACCCCCACATCCGCATTTTACCTGTCGATACGTGTGTATGTGTGCGCATGTATGTGCTAAGCTTGCGTGCGTGTGTGTCTGTGCGTGTATCGCGTTCTCCGTCAGTATTGTATTTGGTATATCACAAGAGCGGAAAAAAAAAGGAGAGGAAACTATATATAGGTACCTCAAAAAAGGTATACTTTACTATACCACTGGCTGTTGAAGATAGATACTATTTATAGGATTTAATTATTCTATACACAGAGGAAAGAAAAAAAAGAAAGAAATAGAGCACTCTATTCACACGTATTCTCCTTAATTTAACATCCTTTTTCGACTATTACATTTATGGATAATATATTTGTGATTGTAAGAATCTGCAACCAAAATGTGACAAAGAATACTTGTTGTTGTTAATATGATTATAACTATTATTATATTGTAATAACTATTAATAATTTTATTTTATTTTATTATTATATTATTAATATTATTATTATTATTATCGACATTATTATTATCACAATTACCAATATTCTTGTTGCAATTGCTATATTATTATAATGATAAGAATAATTATATTATTTTATTATATATATATATATATATAAATATATCAATATTGATATTATTGAACACTTGGAATATGCATATTTCTATTCAATAGTAAGAGTACCTTTATAAAAATATAAATATAAATATATTGTATAAATGTATATGTATATATATGTATAGTGGGTTTATGTACGCGTTATATATAAATAATAGATGCGGACATTATTTATGTATAATCGATATATAAATTGACGTATATTTATATATCTATACATGCGAGATGGAGAAAGAAAGAAAAAAAAAAAGGAAATCGATCTTCTATTTTGCATAGCTCGGTAATGATTCTCTTTTGGGTCTTAGATGCACACTAAATTACTTCTAAATGACATCTGTTGTTATATAAATGAGAAAAGAAGAAATCTAATTACACCTACACGTGTATATGCACACGATGCTATGCGCGCGCGCGTATGTGTGTGTATACGCGTGTACACATACATATGAAAGAAATCTCACGCAAGTGTCTTATTTTTCCAGGAAGTTCACCACTTATTAAGAGTTGGAAGAAATCGCTACTAGAGGTTTTCGGACGCGTATGACGATGTGCTCTCGGGAGGAGCGGGGCGGGGGGGGGGGATAGGGCGGTGGAAGGCGAATAGAACGACGTCGGGCGAGTCTTTTTTTTTATGTATCGGCGGAATCGTATTTTAATTAGTCATCTCTCTTTTCGTTTCGACCGTGATTTTGTAAATGTGATTCGGACGGACGCGCTCGTGGCAATTCTAGTGTTATTTGGCGTGTATTATATTTATATTGTTATGCGTCCGTCTTCTGTGTCTTTGTTTTTTTAAATTTCGAAAGCTTTCTTATCGAAGGGAAAAGGGATTAAACGTTTGGAGTTTTTTTTTCCGAGTTTTTATTTAACGAAAATTAGCTTGTATCGTATCGCTTTAGTATTCGGGCCGTCGTGGTGTACCTAATGAAGAGGCGAGGGAATCGGAATTTGTGCTCGTTGAGTGTGTCTAGTGGAAAACGGGTGGGCGTCGCACCGCATCTCTCGTTGCTTGATATTTTATTGCAGCATTGAGATACGTTTGGTCCGTGGCGCGAGGGAACACGTATGACGGACGATGACGAGGACGATGTTAATGACGATGTTTGATACTGTGATGACAATTATTACTTGGCCTCCCCTGTTGCTTTTTCTTCCAATCGAAAGCAGTTACAAAGTTGTAATCACCGTAAAAGAAAAAGAGAAAAAGAAACACAACCGTGAGGTACTCTGAATATGTACACGTACATACATAGGCACGTACTCGCCTGTGAACGCGGATACGTATATTACGCGTACGAGAGAAAGAAAGAGAGAGAAAGAGAGTGAGAGAGAGAGAGAGAGAGCGTGCGAGAGAATGTGAGAAATTACGAGATTAGAGTACGCACGTACATGTTTGTGTATGTCCGCGCGTGTGCGTGCTTATGTCAGGGTGCGAGATGGATTAACGTCGTGGCGTTTAGGCGTGCGGTATGTATGCGTGTGCGTGCGTGCGTGCGTGCGTGCGTGTGGAGGCGTGCGTTGTTCGTAGGCACGCTCGTACGCGGGTGTGCGTAGCAAATTACGTCATATAGATAGATGATATGTGCTTTCTAATGATGAATAATTTTATAAATATAAATATAATATCGATCTCTCACCGTGTACGTTCATTTCGTACGACGAGCTTGTATGTGAACTTCGCGTGTCCTGGAAGGCCCGTTCGCCTTTTATTAAACTGTCAAATGATTTCAGTGTTCTTGCTTCATTCAGTTGGCTCTTTTGTGCGTACGCCGCGCGCGACCACCGCGTAAAGCGTCCCCTCCCCCCCCTCCTCCCATCCCCCGACATTCTCCTTTCTTTTCCTCGATTGCTCCTCGTTTACGTCGCTCTTCCCAAGATCTGCCTTCGCTCAAGAGCTTAGCGTGATATTACTTTTTAATGTAGTCTAAAACCAACGCAAGATACATACTCTTATCTGTTCGTTTACCGAAGGAAGCAGGAATTAATTTTATTGAAATCCGAAATTTATTTATTTAAGGAAATAATATATTGTTTTATATATCTTTCAAACGATTTCCTTTTGCGTGTTATTTTGTATAGACGATGATAAGAAATAAAAATTGTCAAATATAAGATAAACAGAACAATGAGGCTCGATGTTCTTCGCTTCTCTCATCAAGCGGGCAACATTTCGGGTCGCATGCCGATTAGCTGTTACACGTAGCAGCGTTTCGCCAATCTACTCGTTATTCTCGCGTCGTGAAACTGATACTTTAAGACCTTTGCGGGAAGGAAGTTAAACACTCTGGAGAGGCGTCGAGATTAGCTTATACAAAAACAAAAGATCCTTTATTCAATGCGAGATACATAGGTAATAGTTACGACAGCGATACAATATACATAACGTTAATTTAATTATCGTAGTGTGAATCTCTCGGTAAGTCGCATCGGCGACCGCGGGATGTTACTGGCAGTTTTGCGATCGCCGGACGCGACGGCGGTTCCTTTTCTATTTGGCATAAGGCAGTTATATGACTTCACGGCAGCCGGCGGCGCTCTTTTGTCGGGCGCGCAGGAAGAGACGGGACGGCCGGGGAGCAGGTCGTAGACCTCCCGCGCAGGGTGGGAACGGAATAACAGCGACAAATTCCCGGGAACGATACAAGGGTCCGAGATAAGGATTTCTAGATAAGCAGCGACCCAGGTCTTGATTCAACAGCAGCCACTTTGACGAGCGACTCTTTTTTTTTGTGTGTGTTCCGTTACAACCTCCGAAGAATGTACCGATAGATTGAGAGTAAGTTTATCAAAGCACTCTGTACTCAATTGCGTTTCATATCCAATATGGCATCTCAATGGTCCGCGACTCGAAAGGGAGACGTTTGTACGTAGGATTTCTATCTCCAAGCAGCATAATAGACCGGAAGATATTTGAAGAACGCTCCTCTACGACGTTCTCCAGACTCGCGTGTTGTCTGCGTTATCTCGAGCCCCTTACGGCGCGGTTCCTGAGCGTTCATCCGCGTTTCTATCCGACGTAAGGTCCACGAACCAAAGGGGCACCCGGTCGATATAACTTAACTAATATAGAAAAAAAAAGAGTTTCTCCTGCTTCTTTATATACATAGGCTTGCTGCGCCCTTGCACGTCACTGGTGCCGCCTGTTCTGGACGTGCGTGCAATTTGCGTCGCGCCTACAGGTTGTTGGAGGACTCCGTGGCTTGTTTGCCGCGCACGCGGCTTCTCCTGCGGTGTTGATAGGGCACGCGTCTATGAGGGGCATATCTTGGCCGACCAGGCGGCACCCTGGACTCGTAATCGGGTAGATTACGAGGTGGCGGCGGCGGTGCCGGCGGGGCGATGCCCCAGTTATTGGGGACCCGCTCGTTGTTGGACGTGAAGGGCTTCAGGACCTCGGTGACCCGTCGGCGGAGGCACACGGTGCAGCGGCTCACCCGGGACGTGTGGTCGGCCTTGAGCGTCTGCTGCAGCGGCCTGCGGAACATCTCGTCGTCGCGAATGGTCGCTAGCCAGTACGACGTCGCCGTGGCGAAGTAGTTGCAAGTGCCGAGGCCGCGGCACTCGATAAACGGCCTGACGCGGAACTCCTCCAAGCAGGAACCGGGCGAGACTAGGGACTGGCCGCCGCCGTCCGCGCCTGCATCTCTGTGCTGTAATTTTGTCAGGTGAAATTAAACGTGACATACCTGCAGCTGGCAAATAATTTCATATGCGTATATTACGCAGAAACTTGATAATTTATTTATCGAGAGCCCTATACAATTGTTATTGACCAGTGTAGAAAATTGCATGACGGCCAATGGCTGGCGAATTCTAATTAAAGAAATTCATTGCGAGAAATGTTACCTCAGCCAAGAAGGAAATTGCTTCCAATAATCTCAACAGATTGACATTAATAATGAAGCTAAATGAGAGTGTGTATATTTTGTAATTTTTAAAAATATAATAAGTTTTCTAATGGAAACTTCCACCTTGTACGTAAGATTGTCATTTTAAGATTTGTCAAATCTTAAAATGATATTCGAGATAAATTAAAAGCTGCAGGTTGAAACAAAATACATAAATTAACCGGTACACATTGAAATGATAATACCTTTAATTTGAACTTAAATTCTTTCATTGAATTGAATCTTCACCGAGATCAGCGTTATGTCAGTGTATTAATCGATCTTACCATGAGGAAACTGTATCCAACCCAGATTTCATCCCAACCACCCGGGCATTCGGGTATTGTCATGGATTGACTGTGAACAGCTATTACCCTAGTCGGTGCTTCGCACACAGAACATCTCGATATGTATCTACCGACTTCCGGAGCCGGTATTGGTGTCATCATCATCGGCATAGGCTCGGTTGTGCTGAGCCAGTAACTGTAGTCGTTACGATTCGCGTAATCGCACACGTTGTTCAGATTGCAGAACAGGAAGGGCATAGTGGAGAACTTCTTAATGCAACTGCCAGCAGCACCTATGAATTGTTATTTATTGCTATTCATTTGGGGAATTCAGTTAATTACTTATTAATTGCATTACTGGCAAGAGCTAGAGATATTATTCAAGTCGTGTATCTTTGTAATATCAAGCTTTAGCAATTGCTTTTATATTGTTGTATTAAGATTTTTTCCATTGTTATTTACATTGAAATTCTGTGTTTTATAAAACACAATATTTACACGAAAGATTTATTTTGGAAAATGTCTATCGTGTGGATTTGTGTTGGAAACTTATTGGATTTTTCAAAATATCACTTATAAAAAATATGTTAATGTTGCTCACCAAGATCCTGCGCGTAGGGTCGTCCATTACCCATCGTGTGCAATAGCGAAAATCCTTCCCAGATCTTCACGGTATTCCTCGGGCAGGTTGGTATCATTTCGGATTGCGAATGACGTGCGAAGTAGAATCCTCTGTCCCTCGGACCAATTCCGTTCGGCGCAGGTATTCCAGGTGCGCCACGGAAACCTGCGAGAGAAATTGTTCCCCAATTTCCAGCGTACAGTCAAAACACTTGATGTAAGTTTGTGTATCGTAACAATACGCATTGCTTCAATTCGAGACCGAAATAATCGTGTTTACGTTTACTATGAAATACGTATGATTGTACCTGGTTGTCCTTGTCGTCCAGTTGCTCCGGGAGGTCCTTGATATCCAGGGGGGCCGTCTTTACCTTCCGGTCCTCGCGACCCAGGAATTCCAAGTATTCCTGTTTCACCCTGTCGTCCTGGTAGACCGTCCTTGCCAGGCTCACCCATCATTCCCTGTAGTCCAGGGAAACCTGCGGCATTCGTACGGTATTACATTTCCGTTCAACAAAATATTTTTGTTTTCATGCGCGTGTATACACCGCTAGTTTTATTTCTGTACAATAAAGTGTATGTAGCACCTGGTAATCCGGGCACTCCTGTGTCACCAGGGGGTCCTCGTCTCGGGAATGGCGGGAAAGGATTTATGCCAGGTACTCCTTTCGGTCCCTGTCACAAGCAAAATTTCATTCTGATTCCTCGATTTTATTCGATGATTTATTCGATAATTTTAAATATTATTTGATTATCTGACAGTAGCATAAAATAATGACGTAAAAAAATCTGCAAGGAGATTTCTATCGTGAAAAATAAAAGCGTAGGAAGAAGCTGTACTGTAATTCGAGAATTTTACCTGTGGCCCTTCAGGACCAGGCAACCCACGCAGACCAGGTTCACCGGTATCTCCCCTTTCTCCTTTCGGTCCTGGCAATCCGTCAAAGCCAGCTAGACCAGCGTCACCTTTCATTCCCTTCGGTCCAATTCGACCATCGAGTCCAGGCCATCCAGGTTCGCCGGGTTGTCCTTGTTTGCTGCCCGCAGATATTCCCGGTTCTCCACGGTAGCCTTTCGGCCCCAGTGCTCCGGGAAAACCTTGCAATCCTTCTAAACCTGGCATACCTGGTACGCCGACGAATCCTCGCAGACCTGATCAAAGCATAGCACGATAAAAACTAAAGTGTCAATCTTTTTATTTTGTTCTATTGTTACTTGACTAACTTAAAAAGTATTGATTAAATATAATAATAAGTTGTTACCTGGTTCTCCGACCATTCCTTTAGAACCACGGAAGCTGGGGCCTATATCGCCAGAGATTCCTTTAGGTCCGTTCGGGCCATATTCACCAGGCGCTCCTTTCTGTCCTGCATGCCCTGGAGTACCAGCCACACCATCGAGACCGGCGCGACCAGGCTCACCAGGTTCAGCAAATTCACCGGGCAGTCCTATGACCAGCAAATAAAAAAATAACGTTAATCAAGATGAGATGTTAAATTTTAGATATCTAACTTAAATTGGAAAGACGAAATTTTTAGTTTTTTATTGACAAAATTATGTTACAATCGTGACGAAGTATATAACATTAATTTTCTTAAGTTAAGAATGAAACAAAATTTATCTTTTTTTAAGTCTGATAAAACTTTATGCAAGAATTGCATAATAATTTTTAATATATCAAAAAAAGAGTGAAAGAGTTAGTGAGAAATATATTTTAAAAACTATTCTTAGTATTAAAGAAAAATGACTATGTGTGTAACGCATGACATTTCAATAAGTTCACATTATTCTGCACAAGCTTGCAATGAAAAATCTTTCATATCGATTATTGTCTACTTCTGTATATACCTGGAGCTCCGCGAGGTCCTTGATCACCCACCAGACCAGGGAAACCAGGTAATCCTGGAAAACCACCAGGACCCGGATATCCTCTGTCTCCCGTTTGACCCTGTAATCGACGAATATGTAATTTCTTCCGCAATTGAAGAAGTGAAATATCCGACTCAGATATCATTCATTTACCTTACGGCCAGGCATGCCGATATATCCTGGCTCGCCTGATTGTCCTTTCATGCCGACGAAACCATCGTGGCCACGATTACCGAAATCGCCCTTCGCCGCGAACGCGTAAGACGGCAAACCAGGTTCGCCTACGTAACCCTTTGATCCAGGAGCACCTATAATGCCCTGAATTCCCCTCACACCAGGCTCACCAGGCATTCCTAGTGCAAAGTTATATTATTTGTAATTTGTTAACAAAATACTGAGGCAACATTTTAATTTCTTTCATTGTAAACTATATAAATCTACATAAACGTAAAAAAGAAATTAAACGTTGATCACAAAATAAAAACATGTAATTAAATTTATAGAGTGCTGATTATCATATATTTACCTGGTCTGCCCATTATACCTGGATCACCATCAAGACCAGCCTTTCCTTTCAAACCTTCAAATCCGGGTGGCCCAATCGGACCTCTTTCACCTTTCGCACCATATCTACCAGATACTCCAGGCGCGCCTGGTCGTCCCGGGAAACCTTGCTCACCACGTTCACCTTTTAATCCATCAGGACCCATGTCACCAATTTCTCCCTATTAAATCACAAGAATTAAAATGTCGCATAATATGTTGTCTTATATATACATCTGAAAAATAAGTATTATATTTTATTCCGGATGCGATTTCTTGATAAAAAGAAGACGCAGTTACCTTTGGTCCACCAACACCGTCGTATCCATCGAAGCCGGGTTCACCTTTCTGTCCTTGCAGGCCATTGAAACCGTCAGTGGCTAATCCCGGTTCTCCCGGTAAACCCGGCCGTCCGTCGAATCCAGTCAGACCGGGCGGTCCAAGTTCTCCCATAAAACCAGGTGCACCCACGTCACCTTGAGGACCGCTGAAGGAGTTTTCGCCAGGGATTCCCGCTAATCCCTCGAGACCAGTATCACCGGTGATACCTTTAAATCCAGGTGATCCTTCCGCTCCTCGTAAACCAGGGAGTCCTACCTCTCCCATCTCTCCTTTAGGACCGTGCATCCCGTCTATACCTTCCAAACCAGGCCAACCGAGTGGCCCCGGCTCGCCACTCTCGCCGATATCTCCTTTGTCCCCTGGAGCACCCGGTAGACCTTGCACGCCGTGCATCCCTTGGTATCCCTGAGGTCCTATGTCGCCGTCGTCACCACGTCGTCCGATAAAACCGATTTCTCCTTTCAAGCCCTTCATTCCGTCAAAACCGGAAGGACCGTCCGGTCCTGAAAATAGATTTGTTCTTAAATTTTTCTCTCGTTTCCAATACAAGTTGGATTATCGGATCGCTACAGCACGAAGAACAGTTTATCCAAAACGACTGGGCCATTCTACAGGTAGATAAATGTCTAGTTTAGTGATGAATCGAATCAGAAAATAAAATTTGATTTAATCTCTGATTCGACTCGTTTAATTTTATTTCATCTGATTCAAATCTATAGAACGACTTGCTCGTTTTATAATGTAAGTATTATTAGATTTCGGTACTTACCGCGGTTTCCGACATCACCGATTCTTCCGGGCATTCCAGGCTGGCCAGGAATTCCCGGAAATCCGCGATCACCTTGTATACTGTCTCCATGTTGACCTTTGGCTCCCTAGAAAAAACATCAAATCGACTGCTTTGATATATAAATCATTTGTAGACATTTCATGAGAAACCATTTTCGTAGACGTTAACTAACTCAAAACGATCATCATGAAAATCCACGAATAAGAATGTACTCACTTCAAGTCCAGGCAATCCTTCGTAACCAGGCGCTCCCTTGGCGCCCTTGCCGCCCTTTAGACCATCCTCTCCCGGTCGGCCAGAGAATCCCTGTGGACCAGCATCACCGACGTCACCCTTTGGACCGTACCATCCGCGTTCTCCAATTTCGCCATATGTTAAGTTTGAGCCTGGATCTCCTCGTTCGCCCTTGTTGCCGATGCGACCCTACAACAAGTAATAGAATGCATCATTATGTAAGAATTTAATATAACAATTGAAATAAAATTTTACATACAAGATACATTTAATTAAACTGACAAAACAGAAATGATTCGCATTCAGTTTACTTACCGAAAAACCTACTGGCCCCTGTAATCCAGGTGAGCCTGGTGTGCCTCGAGGCCCCTGCTCTCCAGGCATACCAGGATATCCTTTCAATCCGCCAGGACCTTGAAGCGAAAGTCCTGGAGAACCAGGCTCACCAGGGAATCCTGGTAGACCTTCGTCGCCAGAACGTCCTTGGAAACCTTTGTAACCGAATTCACCTACAAGAATTCCGAAATTAATTAGCCTCATTTTTAAATACTTCATTTCTTCGAGATTAAAATATCAAACTGTACATATTTCTGTAAATAAAATTATATAAAAGTGGTTGTGTGCCCGTAGAATCATATAATAAAAATAAATTATTTGTATAATTATTACATTATTATATTATAATTACATTATATTTATACAATTTTCAAGAGAAATTCTCAAACACTCAATAGCCAATTATAAATATATAACTCAGATAATATCATTTCATATTTATTCTGCCTTTTTGTTAAAAGGTTTCAATTGTTGTATTTATATTTTAAAGTTTTTATTAATATTATGTTCTAGCTAGAGATACTTCGTTCAGATTTTTATTCAACATATATTTAGGAAATTTTTTAAGTTAACGTACCAGGAGCTCCTCTTTCACCTTTGAAACCCTTTTCACCCTGTACGTCAGTAACATATTCCGCGGAAGTACCAGGTTCTCCTTTGAGGCCCTTATCTCCTGATACTCCTTTGATTCCCGTCACTCCCGGAAATCCTGGCTCTCCACGCAAGAACTCAATTGCTATCGAGGCGTCTTCACCTTTTTCACCAGGAATGCCATCCCATCCTGGCGAACCGTCTCTTCCCGACAATCCAGGAGAACCATGTTCACCCTGTAGATTTGAAGATATTCAGATTAAAAGGAATGGAGATGACATTAAAAAAAATGAGAAAATAATAATGAAGCAGTTATAAAAGTGCGATTGAAAATTCTCGTAATTAAATTATATTAAACAGTAAATCTTATTGCGTAAAAATAATTATGCTATAAAAGCGGAAGAAAAAGTACCTTGTCTCCTTTCGGTCCTGGTACGCCTGTATCACCAATGGGCCCTGGTTGTCCTCGCAGACCCCTGAGCCCCTCGTGGCCAGGTAAACCTTTCTCACCGATATCGCCCGGCGGGCTCACGAACTTCTCGCCTGGCGGGAAGAATACTCTTCCATGTTCTCCTTTAGGCCCTTGAACTCCCGCAATACCAGGTCTACCGCTATCGCCCTCAAGTCCAAATGGTCCTTGCGGACCTCGCTTGCCTTGTATACCCTTAAGTCCCCGTGGACCGGGTAGACCAGGGAATCCCGAGGCTCCAGGATATCCGTCCAAGCCAGATTCACCGCGTTCTCCTTTATCCCCCGGCAGACCTGTGCAATGATTAAAATACGTATTCTTAATTCTTCGTTCAAATGTCTCTTTTAAGTGTCCTTTGTAACTTGTAAGGTAATCTTTACCTGGGGCACATACGCCACAGTCGTCTCCATGAATACCCTTGAGACCCTTAGACCCGGTAAGACCAGGCCAGCCGTCAGGACCAGGAATACCAGGTGTTCCGGGCAGACCCCGTTCTCCAGCTGGCCCACGAATTCTTATTCCTTTCCCAGGAAAACCTTTCTCTCCTGTTTAGCAATTATGATTATTTGTGATTAACAAAAAATTATATTTACAGATGCAATTATCAAAATTATATTAATAACAACTTCATGATAACGTATAGAAAATAAAGTGCACTTTACATATTTTATTCAGTCTCACAAATTTTGAATAGAGTTCTTATCATTAGTGTAATACAAATAAATGTGATAATTAATAGAATTTAATAGTTGTTCCAGGTAACTTTTAAGTTTACCTGGAGGACCAGGATCACCGCGATCGCCAGGTGGGCCCAACAATCCCGGGAGACCTGGATGGCCGTCTAGCCCTGGCGGTCCAGTTATCGTTACCCCCGGAAATCCTTTGGCTCCCGTAATTCCAGGTAAACCGGGTAGTCCGGAAGACCCTTGATGCCCCATAGGTCCCGGTAAGCCTGAAATAATTTATTAAATTGACAATTATCATTTTTCACATTCCGTAATTAACGATTAATTGTCGATCTAGACGACAATAAGTGTACCATCATCTCCTTGTTCTCCTTTTATGGACGAACCCTTCACTCCCGCCAGACCAGGAGTACCCGGGAGTCCTGGTGGTCCTGGCGGTCCTATAAAGCCGACCTTTCCTTGCAGACCCGGTATTCCCGATCCGCCTGGTTCACCAGGGGGACCTGCAAAAGAAACAAAAATCTTTAACACTTTTGTTAACTAAACACAGGTAGTTTCCAGTGATTTTTTAAGAAAATATTATACGTGATATCAATATTAATTTTTTAACTTTTTAAAGACGTAAATTATCTGACAATGTGTACTGACGTGGCTAATAAATAATTGTTCAAATCTTTTCGTGAAAGGGAATAATATATATTATTAACGTATACCGACCGAGATCCCCTTGAATCCCGATATTTCCGGCGATTATCTCATCGAGTTCTGGAATGTACTGTCCAATTTCTCCCTCAGCTCCTTGTTTACCAGGTGGACCACGATTTCCTTCTTCTCCTGGTTCTCCCTTTACGACAGCATTAATTAACGCGATATATCTAATGCCACGACTTAATAAATATTAAACGATTTGATTCCGTTTACTGAAAATATTACGACGCCCGTCGATAAGTTCGAATAACAAAGGATTAGGAAGTCGCGACGCGTAAAGTCAGCGCCGATTACCAAAATATTTAATTAACGAAACAATTTCATCTATCAGAAACTATTTTCAAAGCAGACGTCACCGAGGACACATTTTGCGTGCAAACATCTAGCATTACGACGACGCACTTGGATAGGATTTTGCTTACGCGCTGAGCCGCTTTTGGTACGTGAGTTGTTGGATATTTGCGCGCGAAATTATACGTTAATACATGAGCTAACCGCTTGCACGCAAAAGCACAGACCAACCGTATCTTACGGGCAAAACTCAGGCAAATCTCGTACAAGTTTGCACGCATGAGGAAAGCAAAATTTGCGCGCAAGAATTGTTATCTGGGCAGTATCATGTTACTTACATCTTCTCCATCCTGACCAGGCAGTCCAGCGAATCCTGGAGCTCCTTTCTCTCCCTTCTCACCGGCCGGGCCCGGCGGGCCCCCGATACCCTGCTTACCTCTTGGTCCATCGTCACCTTGTTCACCTTTCACACCCTTGACACCCAAGAAACCTGGTCGACCCTAAAGAAAAATTGCGCGTGCGTGTTCTCTTTAAATGCAGCAGCATTAAACTATTTTTAATACAATTATATTGTAAAAAAAAGGAAAGTCCGGGCAAATAATAAAAGAAAGATCGTATTATAATTTTACATCACAGCGTAACTTTTGTTTCCTTATCGACGACGTACCTTTTGTGGAGTTTATATTATTTCGAATGTATTAACAGCCTTATGTCCGCATGTAGTACAACGTAATTACCTGTGGACCCTTGGCGCCCATCTCACCCTTGCGACCTCGATCGCCGTAGAAGCCCTTCATGCCTTTTGGCCCTTGCGGTCCTTTGATGGCCGTCGAGTTTTCCGGCTTCTTATATTCGTCCTTACCCGGTGCCCCGGGCTCTCCCCTGTCTCCCTGTTCACCAAGTTGACCCTGCACACCGTACACGGCGTCGCCGCGATCACCTTGCGTACCCGGCACGCCAGGAGAACCTGGCAAACCCTAGGAGAACACAGACACTGTTTTGCTTCCTCGGCTCCATTGATGTAATTTATCAATTCGTCTCTCATTAATATGTAACTTTCGTGTTTAACCAATGTAGAATAATTGTTAAACGACGCGACTGGCAATTCTAATTTCGTGTTTAACTTGTGAATTTGTTTTAAAATAAATATTCGCGGAGTTACCTGAGGTGTACTTTAATGTTACCATTCGTCAACCGTAAGGGATACGTCGGGGTGTATTCCAAGTTTTTATGCGTTGCAGAATACGCCCAAATGTATTTTGAAGTACACCAAACTCTCTCCGTTTCCCGCGAATTGGCGTTCCGTGTGCCGAAACGTTCGAAACTGGCAGTTTCTCGTTTAGCTAATCAAGCCTAAACTCGCCGAGAGACTTGTAATCGAGCGATCGTGCGCGATACCCTCGAGACACCCGGTATGCCCTGATGTAATTCTACCTATATGTTGCGCACGCATTACGCTGAAGTTACATCTAGCGTGGCAGAGCGTAAGTGCATGTATTATGAGTCCATTATAATGCTAATTTAAGTGCACGTCCTGGTCCATCCCTGTTTATTTTTACTCCGGGCGAAATGGAGCTACTAGACGCGGACTTTGCCAGACCATTTCAATCGAGGCAAAGCATCACATTCTGCTTTCATTAACGTAACGTTGATTAGATTTGTGGGAATATTTTAATTGCCCTCGTTGCACGCAACAAGATTGAAATGTTGTCACATTATGATAAAAAAAAATGTATTATTGATGACCGGACACTCTCGATTGATATACAGGAATTTCTATCGTTATAAATTGTTTTACATTTTTGTACAGTTACTGTTTGAACAGACGTTACACAACTTCTTAACACAAATTTTTGGCAAATTTATTATAGAAAAATAATGCGAATCATTTGATCCTCGTCCTCGAGAGAAGAAGGAAAGTCGTTAGCGCAATTTGTCGAATTAACCGTCGACCCGGCCGCCGCTTACACGAGAGAAAAGGTGCCGAGGTTCGTGGCGTCGCCATTAAAAAATTACCCATGCAATTGTGCAGCGCGCGCGATTAACGCATTGTCAATGAGGGAGCCGGTTTTCGGTAGCCGATTGTGTCTTCCTTAATTGCGCGAGCGACGCAGCCGACTTTTGCCGAGGGGGGTCGACAAGAAGAAGAAGAAGAGCCCGGGCTCGTCGGGTTTCTCGGAAGCCGCTGGTCGCCGGGCAAAATCTTCCCTTCGTCATCTCGTTGCGAAGAGACGGCTCTTGCGTTATCAGCGGCAGTCGTGTCAGCAGATAGCAGCTGACGGCGGACGCGACGCTTCGGATTTCAACGTTTCGTATTTAGCAATTAAGTGCGAAGTCCTCGCGCATTTTAATACTTTCTTTCCCTCAGTCTCTCCGTCCTCAAACGGACACGATTAAGACTGCTTCTGTAAAATCGTGACGAGGAGATAGCTACACTGAATATTTTTATCGAATAAGATTGAATAGCGTTTCCGGCGGTTAATTTTTCCGATTACGCTTTCTGATTAAATTATGGATACAACCGACGAAATTTTATTGAAAAACCGATCATAGTTTTCAACGGATATATGTTACAATTTAATTGGATATATCCGTTCGTTGTTATGTAATTGGATTACGTTTAACCGGACATTTTTCTCAGTGTACTTTTCGACGATGCGCGCCTCGACAGCAAATTTTAAGAGACAGATTTTCGATGAAGAAATACGGTAAATTTGAATAATTCTCTTTGAAAGAAAAAGAGTGATATGCAAAATCGTGAACGAACGGATACTCTGTTTTTTTCTTTGCACGGTGTGCCTCGATAAAAGGCATTGAGAAAGTAGATAAATCTTTGACGAGGAAACAGAATATGTACACGTAAGTTGACGCGTTAAACGTTAAATGATTTTCTCTAAAACGAAAGACTCGGTATGAGTTAAGCAACGATGATAAGCGCTTTTCGAGAATTTAAACAATTCGTCATACATCGAGAAATCTTGCTCTTTCGCGATCCTTCGTTAGCGAAGCTGTGATTCTTCCGAGAAGAGTTTATCACTCCGGTCGCTAATTAGTTGCGTCAAGTAAATTGCAAGCGGGGAGAAAGCTTCGCTTCCTGCACGAAAGTAGCTGATAAGTAGCGGGCTGTATCGCCGGCGAGCACACGTGCTGAGAACATTAAACCTTCCCTTCTAGCGATAAAAAAAAAAGGGTTTCCTCGTGCCTTGGGAAATACGTGTAACATCGCGCACGTAATTCAACCTTACGGACGTAACTTGGAACACTGCGGATACAAGTGGCGCAGATAACTTTCGAGTGGCCTCCATGTCTACTCTACTATGCGCTTTAGGAATCTCGTAAAATTCCATCGTCTGGTTTATACGAACCGAAATACTTTGCGACATACGTTACATTACCATATCGTGTCGTATCGCACACGGCTGTAATTTAAGAGAGAAACGACCTATTCTTTCTAGATCGCGAGAACCCGCCATCCGTTCCTTCTGCTTTTTTTTTGAGCGAACATATTTCCGCGTTCTAATTTAATTCGATTAATTTGCTCCCATGCCTCTTCTTTTACTTCGCACTTCGATATTCAACGGACGTTCGCAGCCTGTTTGGGTAATGTACATTTATTTAAAATTTTGTTTATTTACTTTAGTGTCCCACAAGTGATTATTTCTAGATTTCTAAAATGAAGGAAAATAATATAAAGAAGCTTATTAGCGACAAATAATTGAAACGGTGAGTGCAAGAATGTTTCTTTGAATCTACTAAACCACATGAGTCCAAAAATTGTCCTTGAATTTTGACCTCACTAGACTTTTTATTTAATTTCAAAGAAGTTATTTCTTTCCTTAACCAAAATTTTATTTGTTTAATACTGAAATTTCTAAAAAAAATTCTTATCTATTTCTTCAAATCTAGCAAATGTTTTAGTAGAAGTAACTAAAAATTTGGATATAATTTCAACGTATCTCACTTGTATAAACTAAATAAATCTTTTTTTTTCTGGGTGTAAAGTCGGTTTCAAACTATTTTGGACTCCTGCGGTTTTTGCACTCACCAATTCGATTAAAACTGACAATTTTTACTCTTGTTATTTAATTTCCTTCTTTTAGCTACTTTTAGAAAAAAAAATTCTATCGCTCGCACTACTGCATGGTCGAGAATTACTTTTCTTTTGGGGCATCTATTTCGACCGATGATCGCGCATTTTCACCTAAAGCCCGACGGTGCATTCGCGCCCGCGTTCAGAGGTGACTTTTAACTCGGCGGCGCGTAAGAAGATTCCTCGGTGCGGCGCTTATCGCGCGATATCGCGACGCCCGCGAAATTCTTTCGGATTCTTTCCGCTCCTTTTCCTCCTCTTTACCCGGCATTCCGTTAAATATTACCGGGGAATACTTTGGGCCGGCGAACGATATTTCATGCGAGCAGGTGGCGTTTCGCAAAAAGGAACGAAAGTCGTCCCGAGAGTCGGACTCTCGAGCTCGTCTCCTCCTTCTTCGTCCTCCTCCTCCTCCTCCTCCTCCTCCTCCTTTTCCTCGTCTGTATCCGCTCTTCGGAGACCTACCTAAACGCTCGTGCGAGGGTTCACCGGCCCTCGAAAGTCGGCACCGATCGACCGGTGTTACGGTACCTTAAACAACCGTGGGATGTACAAGCTCCTGTTATTACTTACAAAGTCGCCCGTCTCTCCTGGATAACCCATCTCGCCGGTGAGCCCCTGCTGCCCTCGATAACCCTGGAAGCGCGATCGCGTTAGGACGATTACGATTGTTGCACGGAGAGGAATTTTCTCTCGAAAGTTAGCCTGAAAATTGTGTAATCGCGGGACGATACGGCATTTCCAAGAATTTTATCAGAGTTTTTCGAAATTTTGCCATACGTTTTACTAGTAAAATTAAGTTCTTCAAAACGCGACGTTGTTCCGCGATTACACGATTTTCAGGATAAACTTGAAGAGAAAATTCTCTCCGTGCACGAGTGGATTTATTGTGTGCATTGCGCGTTCTAGTATCACCAGGGTTGGGTAAGTTATCCTTTCTTTAAACTAAGTTAAGTTAAAGTTAACAGCCTTGAAAATTTAACTTAGTTAAGATACAAGTTAATCCGTGATACAATTAATTGAATTAAAAGTTAAGTTAATAGTAAAAAAATTAAAAAGTTAAAAGTTAAATGCGTTTTATTTTCACATAAAATCTCAGAGACCTTACGATCGCGTGAATTGCATTGAATTTTGCGACTAGCGTTTCGACAATCACTCACCCTACACGGAATATAGCCCGTTTCGTATGCAAACAATAAAAGTTAACAGTCTATCATGTAACTAAGTTAAGTTAAAATTATTTAACTTTTTAACTTAACTTTTATCTCTTTAACTAGGCACTATCCAACCCTGAGTATCAAGCACGACACAATATACATCACATAAAGAGATCAATTTCAGTTTTAATTAATCGAAGAGCTTTCGATTACAAAATACACGTTGCATAACAGTTGTATTTTACGATTCATTTTAATTTGCAAACCAAATATAATATATGCAGAAAAATTCATGCATTTAAACAGAACGCAACGCGCGCCATAAGCGACTCGATATTTAATTACGGTTAACAATAACAAAAAATAATTATGCGTCACACGTAAATGCATGATAACGTGTGCGACAATCGAACTGTTTAATTTTAATGGAGTTAATTTTACTTTTAATAGAGAACAGTGAATTCTCCCCGCCGAGGAATTGAATAATATATGAATGTTCAAATATCGAAATTTCTTGGCGGTGCAACACCAAAATACGCACTGAAAAGCTTTTCGCTACCGTAGCTAATCACGGTTCGCTAAAAATATTTTGCTGACACAAGCTATAAATTTCTAAAACGCAGCAAACGGCTCGCACTGTCGCGCCTAATACCAGGGTTGGGGAAGTTACTTTATAACAGTTTTTCCGCTAGAAATGCAACTAGTTACAGTTACAAGCGAGTTTGAGCTATTGAATAATATACAGGGTGAGTCTTTCCATATCCGACAAAATTTTTGAGAAGGTAGAACGGATCGAGATGAACGGAAAAGTCCTGTACCATTTTGCAATTTTCGTAATAGTTAACGAGTAATTAATTATTAAAAATCGTTGTCTTAGGCCGGCCTACCGCCCAATTCGAGCGCGTGGCGA